TCAACAAAAGATGAAGATTAAAAACGTCTAATACGGAGTTCAGAGTTTTTTCGGTTTAAACGGCATTGTACAGAATTTTTTTACCGTTTTCCCTATATGTTAATTTGGTGGAATTTATATTTTTCATATACTATATTTTTAGTTGTTGTAGTCAACAGTATAGCTATAGCATTGTAGATAGATCGATGGAGACATCGACCCACATGGCCACTTTACAAGAAGGACAATACTAGTAATTAACGCAGCAAGTTCCATGCTGGAGACAATTTTATTTATTCTGGAAACTTAAATCCCTTTTAAAGTTTATAACTTTAAAGTTTTCCGAGGTCAGATTATTATAACTTTAGAGCATCATTATCCATGAAATTTGGTGGGTATCATTAGATATAAAATTATTAAAATTTGAATAAAAAGAAAAAAAAGAATGTTTTTGGTTGAAATAATGGAACGTATTGAAATATAAAATTAATAAAATTTGAGTAAAAAGAGGAGATGAGTTGATACTTTTGGAGAGAGTTTAAACTTTAGTTGGGGTGTGTTTAAATATAAAATTAATAAAAGTTAAATAAAAAGATGAAAGAGAAGGTATAAAGTTGAGTAAAAGAAAGAGAGAATGTCTGTTTTAATAATTTTATATCTAATGATACCCACCAAATCTATGGATAATGATGGTTTATAACTTTTAAGTTTTCTGAGGTCAGAATATAATAAAGAAATAAAGAAAATGTGGTCGTGATTAGTGTGTTTTGGCTCTAGGTACGTTGTGATTGGTGTAACTCAAATACGTGAGCCAAAGTTCTTCCATTATTTGATACTATAAAACTTAGTTTCGATGAAATGTATAAATGTAAAGCCTCTTAATTTGACGTGGATTACGTAAGTATATGCTTTTACAAATTTATTTTCTTTACCAAAAAAAAAAGTATATATTTTTCTTTTCATTATCTCAATTTAAATCGCGCAAATATTCCTACGGACTAAAAGACGGTTTCAGAAAAAAATAAAAGCTCGGTCTGAATAATTTTTAGAATTAATTTGTTCACTAACCAAAAAAAATTAATAAATAGGCAACTAACCAAAACTAACTTATGTAGCATAATTACATGGTTTGCATCAATATATTAGTTCATTGAATCAATATATTAGCATAATTACATGGTTTACATGGTTTGCATCAATATATTAGCATAATAGGCAATATTTTTCTTCTACGTACACATACACACGTTAACATCAATATATTAGTTCATTGAATCAAGCATTACCAGTTTGATCGAAGAATGAATCTCGAAGACAAGTCAAAGCTAACTATTATTAGTCTCGAGAGTCGAGACAGATAAAATATCCCTAATGATAATCTCAAATGTGCAGTCATTTATTCAGTGCGACCTTTATTCAAAGATTATGGAGTACTTTCTAACCTACCAATTTCTCATCAAGCATCGAATCCACTTATTATTTCATTTTATAAATAATGTTGACGAATCTAGAACTCGTTCCATGCTTTTTCTTTTAGTCATCGCTTTTATAAACTCCAAATCTAGAAAATGTAGTTTCTTCGGGTATTCGGGTCAAACATCGTCAAATTCCAACAAATGAGAAACCGGATCGAATTACGTTTACAATAAATGTAGTGGTGGACTAACTTTAATATTTTTGTAACGTCAGTCTTCATTAAACCTACGATCCAACTGTAAGCGTCTCTGAACGCACCAAACATATAATTTACTACTTTTAAGTTTTAAAATCTACTATCAAATATTTAGCGTCTTGACAATATTTGTTGTACAATTAAAGACAGTAAGACACTAAACACGTGGGTTAACGAGTTGATTATCATATACAAAAGTTACTTAGGGTGGCAAAACAGTATTTTCACACATATGTACATGGTAATAAACTTTTTTGCCTTGTGTGGTCGACTTATACGTATCAGAAAGATTCAGAACTCAAAAGCGTTATTAAGCTGAACAGAGAAAGAAGGCCGGCCAATACTTGCAAGAGGGGTTTCGGCTCTGACAACTATTCCCGTGCGTCCGACGTTGCCATTCCATTTCGACCGACCAAACTGCAGTTTCCGATAGAGAAAGACAGAGTAAGCTAAAGTTATGGTCATGGTGAGAAAGAAGAATTGGTTAGACTTTGGGAGTACAAAAATAGTTTTGCTTACAGATACAGAGGCAAACGCTGAAGGATGTGCGTTGAGCGAGTAGCCGCATATAAGATTCAAGTCATCGGTCAACGAGCGAATAACTTCTGCTTTCATCCCAGGATTGCTTCCACCAAATGTGGGACATATACTGTTCCAGTTTATGAATTATATGTTAAATCAATTCTTTTTCGGTTAAGAGGGAAATGGGGTTAGAGAAAAAAGCTTTACCTGACTTCAATTGTCGGTTTCATCAGTAGTCCAGATCTACGCCAAGCCAAGGCTTGAGAAAGATCCACTGCAAATGATTTGTCAGGCCAATTTACCATAGGTGTGATTCGGGTTCCGCATTTGCTCTGTTCCGCAAACAAAGAGATTATAAAAATAAAAGACACATTTAAGCTTTTTGAGAATAAGCAAGCACCATTTGGATCATGACGGGTTTCAATCTCTATCTAACCTTACAAGAGTAACTAAATCTCATATTGCCTGGATATTGACCCTGTGCTTGAAGAAGACCGCGACAAAAGGGCACAAAGGCACTTATCGTCAGTCCCTCGCCGGATACATAAGTCAATTGCCCGTTTGGGAACTGCAAATCCATCAATGACTGTCGAAAGCACGAAGGTGAGAAGTTCAGGGAATCAGTTCCGCAGAAGTAAGATTATAATAGCACTTCTTTTAAGGGAAAGAGCGGCTTACACAAGCAAAAGGATTGAGACAGAGCATTGACATCATAAGCCACCTTCGATGTTTTGACCATAAAGCTGGACAGAGTGAATGCATTCCTTTCTGCAACGGAAATTAACACAATTACATGAATTTTGGGATAAAATTCGAAAAGGAGAGAAGACTCACTCAAGTGTGTGATGTTTATACCTTCCTATCATATCCATACCAGAGCAAGTGCTGTTTTGATAAGTGTAATGGTAAAAGAAGAGTTGAATCACGTAGAAGGACAAGTGGTCCAAGCTGGAGAAGAAAGAGAGACGAAGTTCCATCGCTTGCAGTAGAACTTGAGGTCGAAGCTTCTACTCTCCAAATGTCTCCCCTGGCTGCCAAAGAATGTTCCATACCATTTGTTCTACTATCATAACTTGATGATAGATCAATCGCTCCCTGCATTGACGGGAGAAATCTACTGTTACTATATCATGAGGCAGACAGAAACAAAACATTAAAAACAACTTTCACTCCCGAAGAAACTTCAAAGAACATCACCAAAAAGAAAGAGAAGACTCCCCCCCAAAACCCACAGCACAGTGTAGAAATTTTACATTACTTGCTTCAAAACATCAGTAGTTCCGAGCAGGTTCATCATTATTCGAGATGGTTCAAAGTATCAATAGTTTATTCCCGGATTCACATTGACATTACCACCACCTAAATGCTAGTTCCACTAGATCAGGATCAAATCAGCATCTATATTTCCAAAAACTTCACGTTCTCAGACACAATAACCTGTTTTCTATAAGCTATCCTACATTTCAACTCAGTCTAGATCTCTCTATACTAATGTCAAACTTGAAGGCAAGCCAGTAATTAGACTGGCTATAAGTTGAAACAAAGACGAACAAGAGCCACAAAATCAGTCCAATACAACTAAGTACCTTCGATCTTCCAAGCAATCCAGACGTTCTCAGATAGGAATCTGCAACTTCCTCCTCGGACAAGTTAACATAAACAGTATCATCCGTCTTAGAAAACCCTGAGTCCCTCAACCGTTCTGCAGCAAATCCCAAATCATCTTTCGTGTTCACATCAGCCCTATGGCTCCTTGTACTCTTATTATCATCACCTTCCACAGATACAACAAGCTTGTGATCATCATGCAGGAACGGTATAGGTAACCTCCTGAAGAATTGTTGAACCATCACGTTTAATCCAGCACCGAAATCAACACCAGCTTGACCTATCTTATTCCCGATATCGAGGATCGCCGAGACGCCGTTGATAGGTTGGTTGATACCAAATCTAGAATCCTTGATAACAGTGAAGTGGTGACTGGGGAACTCGAGATCGAACAGTTTCGCCTTCTGATGATGATGATGACTCGGCGGCGGCCATGGAAACGAAGGTGGGTGTATCTGAATCAAACCAGTAATACCTTGAGCAAATCGATCAGCTAAGTCTTGCCCATGTCGCTGAACCTCTTCCCAAGCTTCAATAGATCTCTCCACTGACATTTTTTTTTTATCTTCCTTGTGTATTCAAACACCGATTCTCATGCGAATCGAAAACGGATTATCGGCGAATTTGGGATAATCGACGGTGAAGTCAAAATTAGGGTTTGACACATAACAGAAACTCGAAAAACTGAGGAGACTCAGTGACAAAAGGGCTGATACGTTTGGCTCTTGATGAGGCCTCTCTCTCACGCGAACTTTTTTTTTTTTTTWGTTTTTACCCAAAAAAAATATGATTTTCTTTTTGAGAAAATTTGCAATTAATACAACAAAAAAATTATAATTTACAACTAACCAAAATTATAATGCCACATACCCTTTTTTTCCCAACTTTTTAATTTTTTTTTTTTTGGTTATGTATTAAAAAGAACCTTTCTTTTTCCTCTTTGAAATATCGAATATTTGTTCTTTCTTTGATAATCATAGTAAAAATTGGACCATTTCTCAGATTATGCGTGTCATCCTTGCATAGGGACCTTGCTAAACTTCTCTGTATTGTTCCAATTTAAGCAGGTGACGATCTTATAGTTGACTCTATCGATATATAAACACATAAACCTTGTCTTTACCTAAACGATGTGGGACAGACACGAATGTTTTAGTATAAATGATGAGCCTCTTGATTACAAGGTTTCTCTTTCAAATGGGCTTATTTATGGGTTATGATACAATTTTATTTCAATCCCATGGGCTTATTTATAATCTAAAGAATGAAATATATTTAATTTTCACCTATAGTTTTGGCTTCGACTGATTTTTTTTTTTTTTTAATTCGCTCAAATACTTATTTGGCTATGTTATCTTCAAGTGTTTAAGTTGTACACGGCTAAAAATTAATTCAAATCTAATTCAATCCACATTGTATTTTTAACCTTCAATAAGAAGTAGAGATGATTTGAAGGTAGTTAGAGATGATTTGTCTTATGATGATCATAAGAAGTAGATTCCTTTTGACAGATAGATCGAAATGTTGATAATAATATACTCTTCAAACTCAGACTTAACTTGGTAGAAGTTGACTGATTTTACTGTTCAAACCAAGTATTGACTTTTAGGTTCGTGACTAAATTATCAAAGTTGCTTAAATCCAAGTATCTTATGCAATGAGCGCAAAGAGGCTTGTCTTTAACTACCAAATCTTTGTCTCTTATTGGTTTACCCAAACCGTTAACCTAACCGGAATCTAGTTCAATTTGTTTTGCATAGTACTGTATTTCTTCTTTTGAATATCTCAAACCATATAGAACAGAGACCAAGTTTATTGTGATTTCAGTTAAAATTAGTTAACCAGAAAAGCTCTGAAATAACAAGACTGTAGAGTTTATCTTTTTTGCTCATATTTACATTAAGACTATCTATGAGAAAATATCAAAAATTTCAGAAAAACTGATAACGATATAATTTGTTTTTTATATAAAAAAGTAGACCATTATTCAATATTTCAATTTATGAGTGTTAACCTTGCGTAGGGATCATACTAATCTTCTCTATACCGTTCCAACTATTATTTCAAGTGACAATCATGTATTTGACTTTATCAATATATAAACACAATCACACACATAAAAACCAATCCGCCT